TTCTAAACCAATAAAACTTAGCTCACGCCGATCCACGCCTCCACACCGCCGCCGCCGAAATCAAACGGCGTGACGCCGCCACGCCGCCGCCGCCGGCAGAAAATAACATATCACGCCGCCGCCGAAATTATCTTGATCGGCGCACAGGTCTAGCCTGAAGATCTTTTATTATGCTATCGATTAAATATCGATATCTCATCTTCTAATCCAGAACATGAAAAAAAATAATCAACATGAAGGACTTTAAAAAATCTTTGTTTGTGGTCCAATTTTATTAATCGCTGTTAAATAGTAAAATCGAACTTGACAAGCTTGACAAAACACCGGTGAGTCAAAAAACTCACCAAACATTCTGGGGAGGCCTAGATAATTCTGAAGGGGGCCTGGTCCCATTAGCACTCCCATTAGCTAAGCCAATGGTGTCCACTCAAGTAACCATCGAACCTTGTCAAAATCACGATTCGATATATCCCATCCTCAACATCAAACAGCTATTCACCGCCCCACATTTGGAGTGGCAAACCGAATCCATTTCGTCACCTCCCATGTCTTCGCCGGCATCGCAATCCCACTGTGATCCGATTCGCACAAATATTCAAAACCCATCACATACTCTTTACAGCAGCGGCTCACCTTAAGGAGGGCAGGTACAAAGGAGCCACACCGCCCACTCCTCTTGAGCTTGATGCCGATCCCGAAAAAAAAAATCCTCGACTGTGAATGATTTACACGCGCATTCAAAATCGGCCAAGTGTGTCTAAATCCCGCAAATATTTGGTCATAATCGCTTCCAGCACCAACCGACAGCAGCAACAGCAAAGCAACACCGCGCTGAGAGACCTACCTACTGTGGATTAGAAAGCGTGTCCCATTTCGTTGAAATCCTAGCATCCAGGCAGTAAGGGATAGAAGTGGCAGCAGAGGAAATGGATAAAAATAAAAAAAGGGCACCGAGAGAGATACTCTAAGGTTGATCTTTGAGGACCCATTTTGGTTGGACGGCTGGATTGATGGAACAAGGCGACGTATGAGAATGAGGTGGACAAACTGGCAAGCAAGGAGGACTCTCGTTCAAAGCCGAGCAGGTATGGATGAAAAGAAGTCGCGCTTCAGTGAAATTTGCCCGGTGGCTAAAGATGACGGTGTTTGAAAAGGGGAATGTGTTGAAAAGTACTCATGGACCTTAGAAAACAAGTTCACAATTTGTGTGACCCATTGACAAATTGAACTCATAGCATTCAAAGTGGATGGCGTCATTGAATAACATTACATCAAATTCTTGCTGAAACATACTTTCGAAGTATTAATTTTCGAAGTTGTTATTCGTGTAAATTTAGAAGAAAAAAACTAAAGCTATTGTTTGATATTCTTCCGCCTATTGCAGCACCGCACGGAAGATCTTCTGGCAGTAAACAAACAGGAATAAACAAATAAAATCCACGCTACTGCCGGAAATCATCCCCACCGAATGCCGGAGGCCAGCAGTAGGATAAGCGTCGAAGCAATGACAGAAGAGGAATTAGGCGAACCTTATGAATACTGAACACACAAACAACGCGAAGCACGAAATAAAAGAAACCAAACGAAATAATCGTAAGTACTTTTCGTCGGTCTGCCGAACCAGTTCCAGTAAGATTAAAATTCACTGAAACATATCAAAGCGGATCTAAAGTAACTACGAGCTGAGCTGGGGTTGGTCGCATGGCTTCTGGTTCACGTTCCGCAGGGAACTTACTCCCGGACCGCAGATGGCAAACAGCACAGTCAGTGTGGAGAAAGAAGTTCATCACACAGTCCGCTGATTTGCTAGATTTTTTTTTTTTTTTTTTTTTTATAAAAGTACGTTTATTTGTCGTTTGTATGTTTAGTAAAAATTATTCACATAATTAATAAACCTCGACTTCAAAATTAAATTTTAATGCATCAATATCTATCCTGCCATTACTGTTATCAATGAAGGTGATATAAACAAATAACAATTTCAATATCCGTGTTCTGTTATACGCTGCAATCCCCTCCAGTGAGGGCCGAAGGAGATCATCGAAACGAAGAGAGCGTCGACTGCCAGTCACAACCAACAGCCTTTGTTGAAGTACATCGTAAGCAGCCCGTACTCTAGGGCAGCCAAAAAATTTGTGTTGAATGGTTTCAACGGTTTGCACAGCACAGTGTATGCATTGTTCACCATCCGCACGCCTTATCGTAAACAGCAGCCGTCGGTGAGAGATTTTTTGGTTTACCCACAAGTATAGATAGCTGCGCTGCGTAGGTAGCAGACCACGGGCAGCGATATTTTTCCACACTCGGGGCCAGTTGATCTCGGGGTTTGTTGTTTCCACTTTCGGTTTGTCGGTGCGTTCTACGAAGAAGCGATGGATGAGATCGGCGGAAGGGTGTTGGCGTATTTGGAAAGGGAAGTTTGAATAATTGTTTAGGATTAGCTTTAGGCAGGGAAGATCTGTAAAGGAATTTGGTTGTGGTGGATTTACTTGGATGAGAAGGGAATTGTAATAAGGAAGGGAAACGATCTCGTGTAAATGCCGATTGATGAGCAGCGCCTTGCATTTCATTGCTGGAAGATGTAGGTTGAGGCCACCATCCTCCCGTCTGCGTGCCAGCTGCTGCATGGGTACGGATGCACATATTCCACGGAAAAGATATTTCCGCATGTTGGTTGTCAGTTTCGCCACGTGTGCTGCCGTCGGGTGTAAATTTGCCGCCATATACCACATTTTCGACGACAGGAAGGTGTTCAAGAGTGTCACTTTCTGGTGTAACGACAAACTGCGCAGCGAGTGTAGCCATATTTGCCGAGCAAAGTTTGTCACGAGTGCGTCCCAGTTCAGCTTAACCATTAATCGAACTGGATTAGCGAAAACTACACCAAGAATTTTGATTGTGGTTTCAGTTCGAAGCCAGGGCACAGTCACAGGGTTATTGATTTGGCCGACGTCAATTGCCGTTGTTTTGGTTTCATTCAGGCGTGCTCCGGCTATTCGTTCAAAGCGCCTGAACAAATCTCGCATTGCATCCAACTGCTGGGCACCGGTTACGATAGCACTGATATCATCTGCGTATGCGACGATCAGATCTGTCCCACAAACTTGCTCCAAGCGCCGCAAGAGAGGGTGCAAATAAATCACAAATAAGTGCATCGAAAGAGGATCCCCTTGGCGCACCGATCGCTGTATCGGGAAGGAAGCAGAGAGGTGTCCATTGATCAGTAGGCGAGACGAGGAAGCCACTGCTATTTGGGAAAGTAAGTCCACAAATGCCGTGTTGAAGCCCAGACCTCGCATTGTTTTGAACAAAAAACTTTGGTCGACACGGTCAAACGCATGGTCGAGATCGAAAGAGACCAATTTCCCTCTCTGTCTGTTTGCTTTTAACTGTGCGATTCTGTCCTTCACTGCGAGTGTGGCTTGAAATATATTTCTTCCATAATTTGAGCACTTTTGAGAGTCAGTTAATACACCGTGGGTACGTAGCACATTTTCAAGCCGTTGCTTAAGGATTCGCGAAAGAATTTTATAGTCCACATTGACCAGGCTGATTGGCCTGTATGAGCGTGCACTTTCCCCAGTACCACGTTTTTTCACTAAAACAATCACCCCATCGACAAATTGCGCTGGAAAGTTTGATCTGATGGCATCATTCAAGACCAGATTCAGCTCACGGTGAATCACGTCGAATGTTCGCAAATAAAACTCTTTAGGTAGCCCGTCGGGGCCCGGTGATTTTTTGGATGCACTTGTCCGGATGGCAGAAAGGATTTCAGTCGTTGTTATTTCGTTCATGGTGGCTTCATTCACGGCATCTTGTTCGGGGATAGCTCTCCCACAGTGGAAAGGGCCGCATTCTTCTTCTTCATCTACGTTCCCACGAGCGTACAGGTTGGTGAAATATTGGACCATATGATCCCGAATAGCAGTTGAATCGTCGATTATCTCATCTCTCTCGTCAGACGCTCGATGGTGGTTCTTCGTCGGGTTCGCTCACCCAGTTGAAAGGTTGATAGAGGCTCACCAGCAACGTACGTCTCGTTTATCCGAACGAACATTTCGGAAAATCGCCGCTGATGTAAAAGCATTTCAGCCTTTATTCGGTTGATGGTGGTGAGCGTGGAACGGTTGTTTTGGTAGTTGTCGTACGCATTTCGCAGTAAATCGAAGAGACGCTGCTGTTCGTGGTTGAAACCGTCGTATGCGAGTTTCGATTTCCATCGGAAGAAAGATTTTATTTTCGGCTTTGCGCACGACAACCACCATTCCATCCACGACGGGTAATACCGGCGTTGACGAGTCCAGTATTGCCACCGTATTTGGAACTCGTCGATATTTTCTGCTGTTAGGAGATGGGGACGGAGAGACCAGAAACCACGACCGTGCGCTCTGTCGGGGAGAGGGAGGCAAATTCTCGCAGTGACGGCTTTGTGGTCCGAGAAGCAACACACATGGACAGCTGTCGATCTCAGCTGTTCTCGCAGACCAGCACTTACATACAGCCGATCGAGCCTGGACGAGGAGTTGTGTGAGATGTAGGTGTACTCCATCTCTCGTGGACGGAGCTGCAGCCACACATCATGCAAGTGTAATTGGGATACGGTGGCTTGAAGAGCGGGACTCATGTTTTGTCCCGTTGCATCGCATTGTCGAATCACGCAGTTGAAGTCGCCTCCAAAGATGATGTGATCGGTGCGATGACGAAGGTAATAGGCGATGGTGTTGTTGAAGAACCGCTCTCGTTCGGCACGAAGAGCGGAACCCGATGGGGCATACACATTGCAGAGCGTAGTGTTGTGTATCTGTAGGGCGAGCAATCTCCCGTCCAGGCTCTTTTCTACGTGCGAGAATTTGATATGTTCCTTGAGGGCAATCGCCGTTCCTCTCCTCGCGTGGTCGACATTGCAGACAACGTTGTAGCCGGGCAAAGCAAGTTGCTCGTTCTCAACCTCCTGCAGAAATACGATGTCGAGATCCATCGTGTGGACGAATGTGCGAAGGGCGTTTAGCTTGGTTGGGTTGGTTATCGTGTTGATATTGACAGTTCCGATGTTACAGCTGATGTACTCCATCATTGTTGCATGTCTTCATCGGAAATCTGTCCGTGTCCGTGTTCGGCAGTGGTAGTGGTGTTTTCTCCGGAGTGCCGCATCTTCTTACCCGGCGGTCGGCGAGAACTGCGTCGGCTGCTGTTTGAGAGCTGCGATGCTTGTGAGCTGTCCGTTTCGTTGCCATCGGTCCTGCGATTCAATACGATAGGGCCGATCGGGATGGAAATCGGCGATAGTTCAACGACAGCTTGCGCTGTGGTGGATTTTTGTTGCGCGGCAACGGGAGCAGCGGGGGGCAGCATCGTGCTCTTCTGCTGTGCAGCTACAGCGCGTGTCTCACTTGTTGCAGTGAGGTTTTGAGGCAGACCCGATGGGCCTGGTTTAACGATCGGCGGTTTTCGCAGATCCGATGGGTTCGGTGAAGGCTTGTGTGGAGGTTTGGTCGGTGTAGGCTTGGTCGGTGTTGGCTTGGTTGGTGTAGGTTTGGTCGGTGTTGGTTTGCCTTTCGTAACGTTCGCGTACGATTGGTCTGCTTCGAGCTTCTGTACCAGCAGTTTTTTGTTTTGCACACATGGAATGCCAATGTGTGCAAACTCACGGCAGTGCAAGCAGGTTTGCCGCTGCCCCTTGTACCCCACCGCAGTTTCTTCGCCCTGGATGGTTACGAGAGAAGGAATGTTCTTCGTTACCACCATGCGAGCCACACGAACACCGGTTTTGACACCGCCGAAATCGCTATAACGGTCGTCCCACAGTAAGTCACGAACACTGATAACCTCTCCGTAATCGGCGAGGAAAGCTGCGACCTGGTCGTTGGAGATGCCTTCGGGGAGCTCCAAGAACTTCACCTCCACCGCTCCGTCCTCCATCGTAATGCGTAGCTTGTACGACTTTCCATCAAACACGAACTCGTGCTTGCCATCGTGTTGTTCCACGATCTTCTCGGCTAGTTCGAGGCTGTTGACCTTCACGAAGGTACATCCCAACCGCCTGCTTGGCTGGAGTTGAAGTACATTTTCGCGCGAAAGACCGAGTTCTTTTCCGACGAACTTATGGATTTCGTCGTGAGTGAGAAGCTTCGGAAACTGCGAATAATCGACGCGAAACGTATTTTCGCGACGCGACATCGTGGCGCTTGAAGTCGCGGTGAACCCCGAACACAAAACTTATTGCGACGGTCGAGAAAAACTGACAAAAACGTACTATATAGTCCGTGATCGACTCCCGAAATTGCTCGTCCGAAAACATCGACTGATCGGCTCGGAAGTTGAGCGCTAACTGACCGCTGATTTGCTAGATTCGTAACGATGCACAGTGGGCAAAATCGCTCCGGAACTTTTATTTTAACTCTTTATTTATTCCAAATTCAAAATAAATTACATTTCATTTTAATCTAGGTGCTCCAGCTACTACAGTAACTTACCAGCCTTAATTGATATGATATATCTATAAATCTATTTTGGGCTACAAAATGGTGAGTTGACAACCTGGAAGGAGCGGAATACCTAGCCCTGGTCCTCACAAGTTCCTACTTCACGCCTCTTCGAGTCATATGATAACAAAAGACTACCAGTGGAAACATGGACACAGCTGGGTGGCGTAGCCAGGGCAATGTTACCAGTCAGGCAATAGCAAAGTGAAGAGGTGCGACGCGAACACTGACGCGGTAACCATAGTACGGTGATAGAGCTTGCTTCACCAAACCCGAGCATCTGTTCACCATGGAGGTGTGGCTCAAAACGGCGTCTGTTCTCCATGTTAGGAGCGGCTAATCACCGTCCTAGTGCCAGCGTGGGACTCTAAACAGAGCTGTGCACGATGATCCCCAGCGAGACAGGGGGTTGGGGCAGGCCCAACAAGCCGCCCTGGAAAAACATAAAGCTGCAAATACTGATGAAAGAAATACGAATCGGAGCAATCGGCACAGACCTACGCGACGAAATAAGGGCTACGATCGGAAACTTGGAACATGGAACTGCAAATCGCTCGGCTTCCCGGGTTGTGATAGGTTAATCTATGACGAACTTCAACCACGCAACTTCGAAGTCGTAGCACTGCAGGAACTTTGCTGGACGGGACAAAAGGGATTGGAAAGCGGGCACCGAGCGGCTACTTTCTACCAGAGCTGTGGCACCACCAACGAGCTGAGAACCGGCTTTGTAGTGCTGGGTAAGATGTGCCAACGCGTGATTGGTTGGCAGCCGATCAACGCGAGGATGTGCAAGTTGAGGATTAAGGGCCGTTTCTTCAACTACAGCCCACATGAAGCCGACGACGAGAAAGAAGCGTTCTATGTGCAGCTGGATTAGGTGTACGACGGCTGTTCGTAACGGGACGTCAAAATCGTTATCGGCGACATGAACGCTCAGGTAGGACGGGAGGCAATGTATAGACCGGCAATCGGGCCAAACAGCCTGCATGCCGTATCGAACGACAATGGCCAACGATGCGTTAACTTTGCAGCCTCTCGGGGTATGGTAGTTCAAAGTACCTTTTTCCCCCGCAAGAATATCCACAAAGCCACCTGGAGATCACCTGACCAACACACAGAAAACCAAATCGATCACGTTCTAATCGACGGGAAATACTTCTCCGACATTATCAACGTCCGCACGTACCGCAGTGCGAACATAGATTCGGACCACTACCTAGTTGCAGTATGCATGCGCTCAAAACTCTCAACGGTGCATAACACACGTCGAAGTCGAACGCCGCGACCCAACATTGAGCAACTACGGCACGCCGGAGTTGCCCAGGACTACGCGCAGCAGCTGGAAGTTGCACTACCCACGGAAGAGCAGCTTTGCGCAGCTTCTCTTGAAGATGGTTGGAGGGACATCCGTTCCGCCATAGGTAGTACTGCAGCAGCGGCACTTGGTACTGCAATCCCGGACCGAAGAAATGACTGGTTTGACGGCGAATGCAAACTGTTTGTAGAGGAGAAGAATTCAGCACGGGCGAGAATGCTGCAACACCGCACGAGATTGAATGTGGAGCGATACAGACAAGTGCGGAACAGACAAAACTCGGTTTTCCGAAGGAAGATGCGTCAGCAGGAAGACCAAGATCGCGAGACGATGGAAAATCTCTACCGCGTAAACGACACACGGAAGTTCTAGGAGAAGCTAAATAGTTCGCGCAAAGGTTACGTTCCGCAAGCCGATATGTGCAAGGACTTGGACGGTAACCTTCTCACGAACGAGTGTGAGGTGATTGAGAGGTGGAAGCAGTACTATGACGAGCACCTCAACGGTGAAGCAGCAGAAAACGAAGGTGGCACGACAACAGACCTTGGAGCACGCGCAGAAGACGACAGGCTACCGGCCCTTGATCTTCAAGAAGTTGAGGAGGAGATCGGTCGACTGAAGAACAACAAAGCAACTGGTGTAGATCAACTACCAAGTGAGCTATTAAAATACGGTGGTGAAGCACTGGCTAGAGCGCTGCACTGGGTAATTGCCAGGATTTGGGAGGAGGAGATATTACCGGAGGAGTGGATGGAAGGTGTCTATGTCTACAAAAAGGGCGACAAGTTGGAATGCTGCAACTACCGCGCGATCATACTGCTGAGCGCCGCCTACAAGGTACTCTCCCAAATTCTATGCCGCCGTCTGTCACCATTTGCAATAGAGTTCGTGGGGCAATACCAGGTGAGATTCATGGGTGCCCGCGCTACCATGGACCAAATTTTCGCGATTCGGCAGGTTCTGCAGAAATGCCGTGAATACAACGTGCCCACACATCATTTGTTCATCGATTTCAAATCCGCATACGACACAATCGATCGAGATCAACTATGGAAGATTATGCACGAGTACGGATTGCCGGATAAACTGACGCGATTGGTCAAGGCGACGATGGATCGAGTGATGTGCGTTGTTCGAGTATGGGGGACACTCTCGAGTCCCTTTGAATCTCGAAGGGGGTTACGGCAAGGTGATGGACTTTCGTGTCTGCTATTCAACATCGCGTTAGAAGGTTAGGTAAGCAAAGTATAAGGTTCTTGCTAAGTCTGATGCTGGTGATGAAATTGATTACCTTTTTGTTAAATTAGTTCATTCAAAGCTTGTGTGTGGCATTGTCTACAGACCTCCAGATGTAAGGGTTTCTAAACTTAACAGTATTTTCGAACTTGCGCTGGAAATCAGTGCTACTGAATCTCATTTCGTATTGATGGGCGATTTCAATATAAATTTGTGTGACACTTCTTCACCTGTTACAAACAAGTTAATCGATATGGTTAAATCGCTTTCTGTTAAAATTTTGCCTCTTTCCCCCACTTGTCATAAATCAGGCTGCAGTTCATCTTTTATTGATTATGCACTTGGAAATTGTACGTTTAACGTTAGCAACATTTTTCAATCTTCTATAGGAGGTGTTAGCGATCATGATTTGATCTGCTTCGATTACAGAGTTAAGGTACCTCATCAACCTCCAGCTGTGTATTGGACAAGAGAATATCTCAAGATAAACACCGATAGTTTAATAGCTGACTTGCAAAGGTACAATCTTGATGCTATTTATTACTGCAACTCAGTTGATGGAAAATTACAAATTCTAAACGATATGCTTTATTCTGTCATTGATGATCATGCCCCGTTGAAAATGAAAACTACTGTTGATCCTAGTGCTCCATGGATTAATCCATACATCAAAAATCTCTTCCAAAAACGATCTGAAGCTTATGATAAATGGAAAACAGATAAACCCAGCGCAGCTAAATGGAATGCTTTTGCAAGGTTGCGAAATAGGTCAAACCGTGTAGTGAAACAATCTAAGTACACTTACTTCTCTCGGCTCCTTAACCCTTCTCTTTCTTCCAATAAACTTTGGGAGAATATAAAACGTTTGGGACTTCCAAAAACTCAAAGTAGAGCAGGTGGTGGTGATGTGTGTAACATCACTGCCGAATCATTGAATCAGTTCTTCATGTCAAATCAAGCTCCTATTACTTTTGATGAACAATCTGTGGCTGGTAGGTCCTCGTCATCTTCTTTTTCATTTAGGAATGTAACGAATGAAGAAGTCCTGACCGAATTCAATTCCGCGTCCAGTGATTCTATCGGCTTTGACCAGTTACCACTCAGCGTTTTGAAAAAAACTCTTGTTGTCATTCTTCCTACCATAACGAACTTATACAATCATATTATAACAACTTCAACATTTCCACAGCTTTGGAAGATAGCACGTGTTGTACCTATTGGCAAAATTGATAATCCAATGAACAACAAGGACTACAGACCGATTAGCATCCTACCTGCTATTTCCAAAATTTTTGAAAGTCTTCTGACTAAACAATTAAACGATTATCTGATTCATAATACGTTACTATGTCCTTTACAATCTGGTTATCGTAAACATTGCAGTACTACAACAGCTTTGATTAAAATAGAAAACGATATAAAAACTGCGCTTGACAAACGTAATCTAACAGTTCTAGTTCTTTTGGATTTTAGTAAAGCTTTCGATTCTATCAATCATAAATTGTTATGTCGGAAGCTACGTAGTTTTTTCTATCTCGATACAACTTCTGTAAACTTACTTTCCTCATATCTTACGGGACGAACGCAATATGTTGAATTTAATAATACAAAATCGGAACTTTTGAATGTAACAAGTGGTGTGCCACAAGGATCTGTTCTAGGTCCACTGTTATTTTCCATGTTCATCAATGACCTTCCAAGTATTTTAAATTATTGTGCTTACCATCTCTATGCTGATGATGTTCAGTTATACCTCTCTGGTAAAGTCGAAAATTTACAAAATATCGTACGTTGTGTTAATTCGGATATTTCAAAAATTTGTGAATGGAGTGTAACAAACGGCTTACAATTAAATGCAAACAAAACTCAAGCAATCATATTTAAAAATAGATCAGTAAGCATTTCAGATGCTTCTTGCATTATGATAGGTGATACCGCAATAGCATATTCAGATGTTGTTAAGAATTTGGGAATAATAATGGACTCGCATCTGAACTGGACTGCACAAGTAAACAGTGTTTCAAAAAAAGTATTTTTTGGTCTGCATTCATTAGTGCTGTTGAGAGACTGTACTCCTAAACATATTCGTTTGAAATTAGCTCGAAGTCTTCTAGTTCCGCTATTTAACTATGCTGATGTTCTATATACATCTATTTCCTCCAATAATAGTCGAAAATTACAACTTGCATTTAATGCTGTTACAAGATATGTTTATAAAATTCCTCGCTTTGAACATATTGGCATCAATCACAAGGGGATTTTAGGTTGCACTTATGAAAATTACGTAAAGCTG